AAAAATTGTATGTGCTAGAGTGCGGCTTTGCTGCCTTTTGTGATGAAATGGTGAGGCTATTTGCCTACGCGCCTAGAATAAGTGTTGAGTTCGATTCCCGTGCCGGGCAATGATTTTGCTGAGCATCTCCGTCCGTCTATTGGGATGCTGCATCCAAGTCAATCTGGGTTTGCTCTGACAGGCAGGCTTATATAAAGCAGACCTCCTTGGCTTATGCAATTGCGAGCGCCGTAAAACTCCTATTAAAACAAAACAGACACCCCCTAAATGATCTTAATTGTGTCAGTACAGACGTAAAACATGTATTTTCATTTAAATTCTCTTGCAGCCTTCAACATGTTGCCCGAGTCGCTTGCAGTGAGTTTCCTTTTGGGTTAGGTGGGTATTTCTAAACCTTGGAGAATGTGTTTCTGGTACACCTGTGTTTCATTTATTTTGAATTTCAGCCCGTAAAGAATGTACACCCTTGCCTTTACATCTTATAGGGGATGCCCACTTCGACCTGATTCCCAACTTGGTCGACTGTAACTGAAAACAAACACGTTTGTTTTTGATGTGACCGAGTCGGGCGATCGGCCCGATCCCATCCGTAGTGGGCACCCCGTGTTAGATTTTTTAAGGAAATGGGCTGTTTCTTTCAACCCTAGTGTGTGGTTGGCGGGTGCACTGGTGTGGTTTGCTTCTTCTTTCTTTTGAAACATCTATCGTCCTTATCTCCCTTTCTTCTTTTTATGTTTGTTACTCTCTTGTAACACCTCTAATCTTCAGTGCATATGACCTTATGCCAGTTGCGAGCGCCGTAACGGCTCTACTAAAACTAAACTTCCCTGAACCGTACGTGTTTCTACACATTTCTTCATTAAATCATTTCACACTTGTTTACTTTCGTTTTCATAGTTTTCTTTCCCTATTTAACCCACTCTCTCCCCTCCTTTTCACGCACCTCACACACTTCATGAATCTCTCCACCCCGCTCCACCCCCATACAAACCTGTCACACTTCATGAATGATTCCCCCCACCCCCGCTTTTTGTTTCGCAACGCATCCGACTGTATTCCATTGATGGCTGATCATTGGAGGTGTAAGTAAACGTCATTAAAG